AGCAAACAGAACACGGACAGCTTTGTTTAGCTCGCGCCCTGTTGGAGATCTGGGGCGCCGTTCTGCGCCAGGGCAGGGGCCGGGCATGTCGTCGCTGCGCCTGGCAGCCTCCCTGGCCGCCGCCTGCCTGGCGGTCGGAGGAAGGAGAGGCGAGATCACCACCACCACCAGGGTGGCCACCTCCAGCGAGGGGGCCCACGATGCCTCGCCAGAGCTCCGAGAGGAGGAGGAGGAGGAGGAGGAGGAGGAGGAGGAGGAGGAGGAGGAGGAGGAGGAGGAGGAGGATCCCCGCGGTTTCCTTCGATTTCGGCCCCTGGGGCCCGTGATCGGGCCCAGGGACCATCAAACAGGAATCTGGGACGAAGAACTGTCTCCGGGGAGGGGTTCGGGAGCTCTGATGCCGCAAGTTTGAAAAATCACGAGCCGCGCCTGGGTCTAAAAGCTCGGGGTTGAGGATGCCTCGAGGGGGGCTCTTCTCGCTGGTGGTGGTCCCGAGATCCGACGTCACGAAAAGCTGCAACATTGTAAATCAATTCAACCAGAGCCCTGGGCCCCATGTTTGTTTTTGTGTTTTCGATTGTCATCGGTCTGTTGATGGTCCTGGGACTCCAAATCGGGCGACAGAGCCCAGTGTAAAAAACAACCCTCTACACTTCGCGCAACCCCGCCAGCCAATCCAGAGACGATGCTCAGAGGAGGTGCCTCGATCAGGGAAGTGGGCAGCACACAGAGGAAGGGTCCCGCCTGGAGCGCTCTTGGGACACTCTCGGGCGCTCTCGGGGCCGTCCTGGGACTCTCTTCGGGCCTCGTGGGAGCCTCTTGGAGCTGCCTCGGGCGCCTCAGAAGCCCTCTTGGAGCCATCTTGGAAGGGCTCGGGCAAAGGAGGGGGTTTCATTAATTAGCCTCCCCCCTCGGACGCCCCCAACATCACCCCGTGCGCCCCACTTGGAGCTCTCTTGGGGCTCTCTTGGGCGCTCCTGGGGCCGTCTTGAAGCTCTCTTGGGCCTCTCTTGGGTCCCTCTTGGACTCTCTTGGCGCCATCTTGAGGCTCTGGAAGACCATCGAAAGCAAAAAGGCGAGAGGGCAACATTCATGGACTTTCCTGAGGGTTTTGTAGCCTCCCAGGGAGCTTCCATGACCACTCGGAGCCGTCTTGGAGCGGTCTTGGGGTCTCGTGGAGCATCTAGGGAGCCACCTGGAGCAATCTTGGGCTATCCTGAGCCATCCTGGAGGTCATCTTGGGCTCCCTGAGGCTCTCTTGGAACCATCTTGGGCCATCTTGGACGCTCCAACGCCTCGCGACCCCCCCCCCCCTCAAGGTCCAGGGGAGGGGGTAGAGGGAGCCTCCCCGAAGGGGAAGAAGGGGGTAGGAAGAGAAACCGCTCTAGAACACCTGCGCCCAGAGGGCTGGTGGGATTGCGACGCCCTCACCTCTGGGGTGGCGTGGACCACCAATAGGTCTCGACCCATTCCCTAGGACCTGGCTACCATCCTTTAGTTTTTCGACGGTCCCAGACCCTGGGGCCCAGCGAGGACCCCCAGAGGCTTAAAATAGCAACAAACATAGGCAAGGCACCCTAGTAGCAACAGGGGTGCAGGGGCGGGTCGAGGAGTAGGAGGTCCGCTGTAGGGGACAAGGGATGAGAGCACGATGAGCGTGTTCTGGTCACCATGGCTCCTTGCCGTCCGCACCGAGAGTGCAGCAAGCATCGAGGCGGGAGCACGATGCCGGAGCACACTGTGGGGAAGCCTCGGGGGGCGGTCTCGGGCTCCCCGCCACCCCTGTGGGGCTCGCCTTCTGCTGTCCTCTTTGCAGTGTAGCAGATGTTTTCAGCGAAGCGTGCTATAGGAACACATCACCAGTCGTGATTGGAGCGCGTCTGGAAGTGTCGACCCCAGACACTCGGTGTCTTCATTCTGTCCATACGCGGCCCTCGCAAGTCCCGACCCTTTCCTTGGCGTAGCTCTTCATCCCGAGTCTCTCTTTTCCATCTCCCGGAGCCCGGCGATGGCCCCTGGAGGCCGAGGGTGGATTTCTTCACCACGTTGGAGGTCTGGGCTCCCCCTGCCCCCAGGTACCAGCTTGAAGCATACCCTTTTTCCCTTTGTTTGGTCACCTCGGTGCCGATCCTAAGGATTCCCTCGGCGTCTGTGGGCGCATCATTCAGATTGTCATCGCACTGGGCTTGCCGATCTTAGGCACAGGAATACAGTCGGACCCAGGTATAAGATCGAGATCAGCTCGGGGAGGCTACCCTACTGTTCCTCGTGTTAGTTTTTCTGTTGCATCCTGCGGGAGGGTACCCCCGAAGGTTCTTCAGTTTGGCCGGCGGGGTGTCCTAGGTCCGGCCGTAAGTTCGAGGCTGGTTACCCAAGGCGGCGGCCCGCGGGGCCACGCCCGGTGGGCTGGAGGCTGCAGGGACGGGCGTCGTCGGCCCGAACGCGGCCTCGCGCGCGGGCCTGCGCGGCAGCTCGCGGGCACCGGTCATCTCGCTGAGGGGCGACCGCGGGCTGGAAACGTAACGGAGACCATGTCTATGCATTGGCGACAACAGTCGTGACCATTTTGAATTCTACTGTTGTTTGCCCGCCGCGCTTGACAAGTTTCGACATGGGCGTCCAAGGCCCTTGTATACTTATCGCGCATCCTTGCTATTAATTTGGTTTGTAATGGAGACAGTTTTATTTTAATCCAAGCAGACGCCCCATTAAGCCGTGTATACGTGTACTTGTTGTCTGCTTGGTTTGCCGCAAACCTCGCTATGTACTCTATTGTCCCGGATATTCTTTCAATTATACACGCGTATATACGTATTGTCTTTGTGTGAGTCTCTGTCCTTCACGCTCTCTCTTTCTCTTGTGTTTGTTTCCCTCTATCTAATACATTGTTTCATGTATATCTAGCCCGAACCTTGGAACCCAGCCGCCCGACGAAAACGTCCGCGTCGTTTTCGCCTTATCTTTGAACCTCCAAGAGTCTTCAGTGCAAGCACTGATTGGGGAACAACTCTTTGCTCGTGCCTGTGTACTTTTGAATGCGTTGCGTATGCTTCTGTCTTTACGCTGATGCACATACCTGTACGTGTACATCAGGTTCCCTGCGGTGTCTCCCTCTATCGCTTTCTCTTTCTCTCTTCCTCTACGCGCTCTGTTCCTCTTGTTAAGGCGCTGGCAAGCGCTTGTGATCCTGTTAGATCCTACACGCGGCTGGCGCGCAATCAAAAACTCGAAGACCCGGAGACCTCATGACGCTGGGGAGTCCAGACTTGGAACAGAACATCCTTGGATTTGGCCGCACACCGAAATCGGCCCAGAGCCTGGAACCTGTGACCCAGGCCCCCCCCCCCGGCGTGGCATGGTTGCGATTGTTTTCCTCAGGGGGCGAGATTTGTCCGCCCCAGCCGGCGGCAACAGAGGGCAGCAAGTCGGTTTTGTCTGCACCGGCTTGTCCCCGGCGCCCCTCCTTGAATTGAAATTGTCATTGCTAGGGGGACCCCCTCCATCGTGCAGGTACAGTGTTGTGTTGCTGTTGCGGCCAGCCACGTGTCGCCTGGACCGCCTCAGGCATACAAGTTTTCGTCGGTGGGCTGTGTCTGTTGAGGGAGAAGCAGCAAATTTATCAAGTCTGAACGACACATGCAGTGTCAGGAGCCAGCGCACGAGTCGTCACGACACGGCCCTGCCATATCCGCTGGGGCGTCATACATAGATTCGTTGCCGAGGAATCGAACAAGCCATATCTCTTCGTAAGCGGGAGGCGGCGGAAGGCCAGCGGAAGGAAGTAACACGGGGTCAGTTCCGCAGTCGATCGCGGGAAGCTGTAAATATACACGTGAGGAGCAATGTTGTTTGGATTCGTTGTTTGCGGAATCGGCCACATATGTGTTGGCAATTCGCGTAACCCCACCAGCCGATTCAGGAACGATGCCCAGGCGAGTTGCCCTGCTCAGGGACGTGGAGGAAAATACAATGGAGTTTTAGCTTGTGGAGGCCGTCGTACCCCAAGAGAGGGAGGAGGGGATGGAGGAGGAATCGGAGGAGGAGGAGGAGGAAGGGGGAGGAGGAAGAGGAGGAGGAGGAGGAGGAGGAGGGCGAGCAGAAAGGCCTCTGATGCCTCTCGGAATCTCTGGAATCTCTTCGGATGTCTGTTGAGAGTTTCTTTGAGTTCCTTCTCTAGGAGCGTCCCAGGGGCCTCTCGGAGCGTCTTGGGTGCCTCGGGGGGAGACTTGGGGCCTCTTGGGGGTCTCTTGGGAGCCTCCTGGGGACCTCCTGTTGGCCTTTTCGGGCCTCCTGGGCGCCTTTTGGGGCCCTCTTGGGGCATTGTGGGAGGCCTTGAGAACCACCTTAAAGGAGCTCGATCAGAGAATGAGGGGTCCCAAATTAGCCTTGCCCCACACACACACACCCGAAGGGAGCAAAAATGGCAATCAATCTGTTTTTGCACTCTAGACGATGCCTTCTGGGATGTTCTAACGACCCGCGACCCCCCCCTGGTCCAGACCGAGGGGTAGGGGTAGGCCACACATAAGCAACAAGCCGCGTCGCTCAGCCCAACCCGATCCCCAAGACATGGGAAACACCTGAATCTCAGCATGGACAGAGGCATCGACAACCATGAGAAACCAATGCAGACGCCCCAGGTGCGCGATATCCGCGAGGTGCGCCGCACAGGCCAGCTGTGCAACGCGCGCTGTGTGCGCCACTTTTGGCAATACGTCAACCCTCCCACCGTCCCCGTCAAAATTCCATGCAAACTGATGGTGGGTTTGTTGTGTGCGGGTGTGCGCCCACGGTCGCATCGCCTTTGTTTGGTGGGCTTGCGCGCAGCAGGCAGCATGCCGCCCCCACCCCCGCCGCCCTTTGCAAAATGATGGGTTCTGTTTCTCCGAAAAGGGATGGGGGACTGAGCGCAATACGCCGCCCCCTGCGCCATCCCTGACAACAAAACCAAAGCTGTGCGAGCGCGAGGCGCCCGCGCATCGCGCTCGCACGAAACGTTAGATTCCAAAGGGCCTCCAAGCCCAGCAAGACAACGCCATGCAGGAGATCAGGTCTACGGTGAATCTACGGTCTGGACAGTGGGAAGCACGTCGTCAGACATGGACTGGCTCGTCGACGGGTGTTGACCCTGCATGCCTACATGATTGTGGTCCAGGTGATCGTGCTCCTGCCGAAGTTGAGGAGAGGACGGCTCTGACGCAAGTGCCTTTTCACCCTGCTTGAGCGATTCCAGCTCATCTAGTGGATCTTGCCCTGCTGTTGAACCCTTCCCGCGTTGCTTACTTACTACAGCTATTGTGCTGCGAAGGGCCATCAAAACCCACGCAGGAAACGGGCACGTGGTCGGTCACGCGAAGGCGGGATAAAGGAACACAACCCAAAAAACCTGAGGAGCAGTGGGGATGGCACAAGACTCAGGCCCCTTCGTTCATCATGGCCACTGCGCAGCCATCTCTCCAGCGGCCGGTCCGTTCACACGCAATCATAATCGAAGCGGCGGCGGATGCGTTTCGCTTCAAGGAGTGGGCCCTCGCGACCCCGTCAATGTGGCGTGATTGCCGTGACAAGCCCAAGTAGTTCAATGTGCGCGTTCGTGGCTATATATCCCCCGACCAGCGAGATTCGGGAAGAATGTTCTTTCGTGCTTCTGAGGGGCGATCATGGTGAAGCTTCAGAACAACAGGTCTCTGGCCTGATTCCTAACGAATGGGGTGCTCTGGATATGGCTCTGGCCATGTTCATGTCTCGGCGGGGAATGACTCGTGGGCCGTGTTCACGCTGCAATCGGAAAGATGGCCAGCTCGTGATCTTACCCAGCCGCTCGGAGCTCAACCGCAGGAAATTCTCGGACACAGAGATCGGCTTCAGTGTGGAAGATGCTACGGGATCGGAAACCGCGCCAGTAGGAATAGGCAGTGGCTGGGCGGCCCTTCAGGCATCGAGTAGCACCGCCAGGACAGCAAGCGGAGCCATGGCGCGACATCAGTGATGATGTCTGCGAGGCGCTACGCTGTAGCGAGTGCGCGGTAGCGCCCCCCTTCGACAGCTCGCCCGCCGGTTGCGCGCCTGGCGAAGATTGCCCGGTACATCCAGCGCCGCGTCGGCCGCGCAGAGACTTTCATTACCCATTCTTCCCTCCGGCCGAGTTTCCGTCTTTCCGCGGGGGGCCGCGCTGCAGGACGCGCGAATTTGCTTGGGTCCCAGCGTCGGTGCCCAGGTACTGTTGCTTCCCGAGAGACCCATGGTAACCCCGGAGATGCCGACCACCTCTCTCTTCAGATGCCCACCCATTCCTGCGGTTGCACCGTCTTCTCCCCAGACAGCTTAGCTGTGCACCTGGTGGCGCCGCCGCGGCAACGAGCTGCAAGGCCGCGAAGCTTTTTCTGAAGTGAGCCAGAGCCCCCTCGTGCAAGGCAGGGCGCTGCTCGCAACCGTGAAGGGCCGCAGTGGGAACTTTAATACTGTCCATGCCCATCTGCCAAATACCTCCGGCAGTTTCAGCGCGTTCATACCAGTGCTTCGCAATTCCCGACGCGAGTCCCCGTTTGGAGCTGATCATCTCCCGACCATGCTGGGCGCCTCGAATTCAGTTCTGGAGGGCGGAAAGGACAGGGCCCCAGCACGCCAAGACCTTCAAATTCATGCTTCCCGACTTGATTCAGTTTCATGTGGACCTGGGCGCTCGCCGGGCCATTGCTGGCGGCGCGATTGAGCTTGCGGCCCAATTGGACCGCGTCCACTGTGCTGCCTCGAACGCCATCCTCTCTGACGCGTCCATCAAGACCTCCGCGATCGGCGTGCTTCAGCGGGGGATGCTCTCTGACTGCACACTTGTCTTCTCTTCCGTGGGCATGCGCATTCCTGCGATGTCGGAGAGCACGAATATCCCGCTCTGGTTGCCCTGGGCTCGCGGGCCTGCGGACGAGCTGGCCGCGCTCATGCGCGCGCGACCGCTGTCGAACGACAACGCGCCTCGCCAGGGCCGAGGTCTGCGCGCGCGCCGCTGCTTCTCGCGCGCGCCGCTGCATCAACCTTCGGGTTAGCAGTGCAGCACCGTCGAGGAGTGCCGCCACTGGACGATTGCATCTATTCGCTTGCCCCTTCCATCGGTATATCCGATGTATTGATACTCCTTCCATGTGCTACCCTAAGCTGTCCGAGTTCATTGGTGACGTGGCCATTGTTCGCGATGGCCTGCTTTCTCTTCGCCAGCGCGTTCGCGAGCAGCGATTCGCGGCTCTTGCGGCTGCGACTCGAGCTCGAGATCGACGCGCGCGATTTTTTACAACGCGCGAATCGTGGGCGCAAGACAGAGCATCTATTCTGGCAGCAACGCCGCCGGCGCACGCGGCTTCGAACAGCGATCAACGAACGCCCCCACCCCGCCCCGACCCCCCGACCCCTGCCGGGTCAGCTGGAGCCTTGCTGCTTTACGGGGGCGATGTCTTCAGTGCCCAAGTAGAGGAGAGGGCCAAGCGGCCTGCGACGCCGGCCTCTGTC